ACACAAATTAAGAAATTCACCTTTTAGCATTAATTAGCAATGGAATTGACCATATTAACTTTTACTATCTCACATAAACACTTCAAACACATATTCCAACACTATTTATTCCAAGGGTAATGTAGGAAAAAAATAATTAATTCATTTTTTGAAATCTGGAAAAATCACTTATTTTGAACCACCAGAAAAAGGCCAAAAAATCACTTATTTTGGATCGGAGGGAGTATTTCATAGTCTTAGGATTGTTTTCAAGTTGTTAATTAAGACAAGAATCTTATACTCCCTCCGGTCCAAAATAAGTGATTTTTGGCATTTTTCTTGTGGTCCAAAATAAGTAATTTTTTCAGATTTCAAGAATGAATTAATTACTTTTTTCCTACATTGTCCTTGGAGTAAATAGTGTTGGAATATGTGTCAGGAGTGTTTATGTGAGATAGTAAAGGTTAATATGGTCAATTCCATTGCTAATTAATGCTAAAAGGTGGATTTCTTAATCTGTGTAAAAACATCCAAAAAATCACTTATTTTGAACCGGAGGGAGTAATTCTTAAATGTACAAGTGTTCTATCTGGTTCTACTATAAATTAAGCTTCCTATAGAGATGCTCGCTGACTTGATATTATTGCTCCTATTTCAATTTATATAATTGCTCCAAAAAGAATGAAAATGAATATTATATATCATATATAAATATTTATGATTTATTTTACACCACACGTTTTAATTTTTTTCCTTTAGAGGCTCGAGATTATCATTTCTTTCACCGTCTTAGGGATATTTTACTCCCTCCCATCCATTTTAGTTGTTGTGGTTCCTAAAAATAATTGGTCTAAAATATATATTCCATCCGTTTCACCTTAATTGATTTTTTGGCTATATTTACACATATTAAGGAATCCACCTTTTAACATCCATTAACAATAAAATTTGATCATAATAACCTTTTATTACCTCATTAATTTGTTCATTGAAAACATAACAAATAATTCAAAACTCTTTACTCCAAGGGCAACTTTAGAAGAAAAAAAAGTTAATTTTTTCTTGATATCTGAATATAACAATTATTGTTGAACACCAAAAAAGCTAAAAAATTAATTAAAGTGAACCGGAGAAAGTATCAATTTAGACACTCAAGATATAATTAAATACTAATTCCCATTTCATCCGTAGTATTAAGTACTCTTGAAAGTAAAAAACATTAATTATATAGCATAGAAAACATAAATTGAAGATATAAATAATGGTATAATAGTAAAAAAAAAAAAAAAAAACTCTTCTTATTAATAGTTTCTTATGGGGCGTTGTTGCTCCCTAACGCACACGCAAGTATACGTGGTCGCACAAGTAATAAAATGATAAGTCGAGTGTCGAACCCACAGGGACTTGTATCAATTGCCAACTAAGTTCACCAAGATTGTTATTCAGTCGAGCCAATTCGAGTTCGAGAGTTAATTATACTAAACTATAATTCTAAGTTACAACTAAATTATCAAGCAGTAAAATAATTATTGTGTAGTAGAGACAAATATTCCAGGGTTGTGATCGATTCACCAATCCTATTGTGTCCTGGTTAAGTCTCCCTTTCATATAATTCACTCATGGTTGCTAATTTATCGAACAATTGCTCTCATAGCCTTCTCCCGAAGTACTACTCGCCTATTCAAAATAGATTAACGCCTATATTCCTATGAAATCAATCTATTAAGAATGCATTAAGATTATTCGATATTTAATTAAGCACGGTGACTAGGTATATTCCTATCCTAACCACAAATTCGTCCCCCTTCAGAGTTAAGATCGTGCTCTCTTCAATTCTTCTCTAATCTATACATGGCTTTCCCAAGCATAGCATCTATAGTAAATAGAACCTAACTGATGGCTAGACAATTAAGCAATTAATCACGGAATTGAAGAAATAATTATATATTAGTGAATTATAATCAAGGTTAAGTCAACGTTAAACAACAATATTCATAGCTAAATCACAACCCTAGAACTATGGGTTTTACCCACTCATGATAGTATCAAACAAAATCATAAGTGTTAGATAATTGAAAATACTAAGAACTAATGAAGGAATCTGAGATAGCCTTGCTCCCGTGTGTCCCCTATGTCTAAAGTATGTCAAAAGTCCCTCAAAATAACGTTTTACATGTATTTATACCATATAAGGTCGGGCCCAACCGAAACCACCTTCTCCTACACGAAATAGGATAGTTACTATGTAAAATTACATAGGCGCACCGCATGGGGCGACGCGCCACGCGGGGTGCTAGTGGACTTTATCAGGAACCTTGCAATTTCGAGGCAAGAGCAAAATAGGCAGCCGCGGCGCGCCACGCGCCGCGGTTGTGCGAATTTGCGAAAATGTAAAACATGAAAGTTGTAGCCCCTTTTAAATAGCTTTCCAACGATATACTGTGGACCCAAACGGATTTCTGAGCAAAAAGTTATGTGCATTTTACTGGACAGTGCGCAGTATGCCTGCACGATTCTTCATTTCATTCTTAAAGGGCACTATCATCTATCGATCCCCGAACACGATCCCAACTTAATCCTTGGGCTTTTGCTCAGACTTCAAAGCTACAGAATAGCTTGAATTCATTCCATAACATCTACATAGATCGAATCACTCCTACAAGGCATAAAGCACACATTTAGTGCAAAACACTAGCGATTAAAGCTCAAACTCAATTAAAGTGCAGTAAATTAGAGTGTAATAAGCGACTAAAATACATAATTATAGCCTACTATCACCACCCCACACTTAAACCATTGCTTGTCCTCGAGCAATCAAACTACACTTTATATAGACACGGCCTTTTTAAACAATTCTCCTAATTCATCACGCCAAGAACATTTAAAATAGACTAAGCATAAGATTGTAACATCTTCGCCTCAAGATTTGACTCACAAGTACCACGCATTATTCACAAATCACTTACTAACCTTTCCTTCATGAATCATGTGCCCTCACACGACAAAAGAGAGTAGTTCCCCACACAATAAAATTTAAGAACAATTAGGAATTCAAGATAAAAAGAACCCACTCACTCTCAGAAATAACATTCATATGCCACACATAATACATGATAAGCTTGCCTGTAGTGTATTAATCTACTAATCGAGCTCATTCAGTTTAGGATTAAGTAGGGCTTTAATTGGTCGTAATATAGGCTGTGGGGCGGGGAGGATATATTTAGATATAAGAGTGACTACACCTCCCTAAGCACTTTAATACATACATTTTACCTTTTAAAACCCATACTTATGTCAAACCATATCTCCACCTTTCACATTCATATATATTAACTCCATACTTCTTTAAGCACAATTGCATCAAGAGTCACTACTATCAAAGACTATTTTTCACAAATAATATAACTATTTTTTCCTTTCTTTTTCAATTCAAGTGGCTCTTACTTTTTCAAAATAGTGCATCTTTCTCCTTATTTGATTAGTTCCACTCAAAAGCCAAACCAACCATCCCACACTTTAACTTTTACAAAGTTCATTATAATTCAAGTGCTCATGAGAGGTGACAAGGTTCAAATAGATGGTTAATTCAAACAAATGGGTAAGGCTTGTTATGTTGTTGCCAATGAAACATGATTACAGGCTCAAAGGGGTTAACTACGATACATAATAAATAGGCGGGTAAAATATATAACTGGTTCAACAAAGAAACGCATCTATCACTTTCAAGACTAAACAAAACTACTATTTTGCTTTACAAACACATGGGGCAAGTTCTAGACATCAAATGCAATGCACAGAATAAAAAACAAACCTCACACACACATGGCACATAACTCACTCAGATTGGACTCATCAAGACACTCTAGTCAAAGTAGTTAAGCAAAGTTAAGATCATACAATTTAATGTACTTATACAAGAGTCAAAAACTAAGCCTAAGCGTCACAACAAAAGTACTCACTATTATCAAGGCATAACAAAGTTAAGAGATATTGCTTCAATTCAATTCACGGCACAATGGATCCTACTCCTAAAAAATAAAACTAACTATAGCCGATTCAAACAAAACCCTTGGAAAAGAACCGCGGTACAAAGCAAAACCAAGGGGGAATTATTACACTACCTAACAAAAGAAAATCTTTTTGTCCTTTTTCTTTCGACTTAAATCCCTCAAGAAAACTGTTGAATGAGATCCATCGTCAGGAAAAGTCCAATTTTTTTACTTTTTTTATAACAAAAACTACTACACTAATAACGAGTACTATAACTAATCTAAGATAGCACAAAAAATCACCCAGACAATCTCCTTACCCCACACTTAAAATTGTGCAATATCCTCAATGCACACTGTGAATAACAAGAGGGTAAAAGAGACACTCTGGTAGGCCAAAGGCTGAAGAATTCATAGCTCACGGGATACTCAGACTTCTCCCAAGTATGGTCCTTTGTGTGGGTACCCCACTCTTAGTTCTCACCATCAAGCTCACTTTTGCACTCTTCCAATGGTTTTGTTTCCCATGCTTATCATCCTATAAAATCAAAACAAACACTACAAAATAATATAATAAAAATAAAAATAAAAGAAAGCATAAAGTTGGGTCCTCCCAACAAGCGCTTGATTTAATATCGCGGCACGACGCAGGGCCTCGCTCGCTCATCAGCGAGTGCAACATTGGTCTTCTCACGATCAATTATTCCTCCTCAATAGTGCTTGACTCTTTGTCCATTCACTAAAATTTCCTTTCACCATTTAAAGCACGCAGTTCAATTGCACCATAAAGAGTGACTCTCACCGCCTCAAACGGGCCTGACCATCTCAATTTTAACGTTCCAGGAAATAGCTTGAGCCTAGAATTGAACAATAATACATGTTGTCCTGGCTCAAAGTGACGTGGCATGATATGCTTGTCATGCCATCTTTTTGTTTTCTCCTTGTAAAGCTTAGCATTTTCATAAGAGTGTAGTCTGAACTTACTCATTCAACTGCAACGTCTCTTCTCACCCGCGGCATCAAGGTCTATATTCAACTTTTTAATAGCCCAGTACGCTTTGCGTTAAAGTTCAACAGGTTCCCATAAACAAGCTTATACGGCGACGCCCCAATTGGAGTTCTGTATGTAGTTCTATATGCCCACAAGGCATCATCTAACTTTGCAGCCCAATCCTTCCTATTCACACTCACCGTCTTCTCTACGATTTGCTTTGTTTCTCTGTTAGACACATCAGCTTGTCCACTTGTTTGAGGATGATATGTCGTAGCAACTCTATCGCGGAGTCCATATTTAACTAGAAGGTTATTCAACAACTGATTGCAAAAATGTGTACCTTCATCACTAATCAAGGCACGTGGAGTCCCAAACCTCGAGAATATGTTCTTTTTCACAAACACAGCTACCACCATGGCATCATTTGTTGGCAGTGTGATCACCTCTACCCATTTTGACACGTAGTCAACTGCTAGCAAGATGTATTTGTTTCCTCTGGACAATGGGAATGGTCCCATAAAATCTATCCCCCACACATCAAAAATCTTGACCTCCATGATGTTATTCAAATACATCTCATGCCTCTTAGTGATTGTTCCTGTTCTTTGACACTGATCACACTTCTTAACAAATGCATCGGAATCCTTGAATAATGTTGGCCAAAAGAAACCGGATTGTAATACCTTTGCAGCTATTCTATCGCCTCGATGATGGCCGCCATAAGGTGATGCATGAAAATCATACAACACTAATTGCACCTCCTTTTCTGGAATGCATCTCCTCATCAGCCGATCAGCACAGTGCTTGAACAAGTATGACTCATCCCAGTAGTAGAAGTTCACATCATGTAAAAACCTCTTTCTAGCTTCAGATTCAATTTCAGGAGGAAGTACCCCACCCACAATATAGTTCACATAGTCTATGTACCATGGGAAAGGGTCTTGGGTGATAGCAAATAGCTGCTCATCAGGAAATGCCTCTTCAATTTCTCCACCCTCCTCCACGTGGTTATGATTTTCCAGCCTTGGTAAATGGTCAGCTACTTGGTTCTCTCTGCCCTTTTGATCTCGTACTACATCAAATTCCTGCAACAACAAAACCTAGCTCATCAATCTATCCTTAGATTCTTTTTTTGTAAATAGATACCTTGTAACGACCTGACCGGTTATTCTGAGAGTTATAGCCCCATTCCCCTATTTCTTGCTTCTTTTATGTTCTTCAACTGTCTTTTGACTTATCGGGTTAGTTGGTTTGGGTCCGGAGTGATTTTGGAGTGAGTTGAGACACTTAGTCTCTTGTGAGGTTTAAGTTGAGAAAGTTGACCGGATGTTGACTTATGTGTAAACAACCTCAGATTTCAATTTTGATTGTTCCGTTAGCTCCGGTAGGTGATTTTGTACTTAGGAGCGCGTCCTGAATGTGATTTGGAGGTCCGTAGTAGAATTAGGCTTGAATTGGTAAAAATAGGAATTTTGACGATTTTGGTCGGCAATGGACATTTTGATAGCGGGGTCAGATTGGATTTTCGGAAGTTTGAATAGGTTTGTGGTGTCATTTCTGACTTGTGTGCAAAATTTGAGGTCATTTGGATGTGATTTGATAAGTTTTGACGTTGTTTGTAGAATTTGGATGTTTCAAAGTTCATTAGGCTTGAATCCGTGTGTAATTCGTGTTTCTGATGTTGTTCGAGGTGACTAGATGATTTGACTAAGTTCGTATGATGTTGTGGAATATGTTGGTATGATTGGTTGAGGTCCCGAGGGACTCGGGTTGATTTCGGGTGATTAATGGAACAAGTTTCGAAATTGGGAGATTGCTGAAGTTGAACTCAGCTATCATAATCGCACCTACGAATGTCTCATCGCAGGTGCGATCCCGCAGAAGCGAGTGGGAGATCGCAGATGCTATATTTGAGGAGCTGGGAAGAAGGCGCATGTGCGATGAAGTTCCTGCACCTGTGGTCGCAGAAGCGGATTGTGAAGCGCATGTGCGTGTTTGGACCGCATGTGCGATGGAATTTCCACACCTGCAATGATCGCAGATGCGCTCAGCGGATCGTATAAGCGGAGATTTGATTTTAATGATTTTCCGCAGAAGCGGAACTTTGTCCTCAAAAGCGGTTCTGCAGAAGCGGTAAATGAGCCGCAGGTGTGGTTTTGCTGGGCAGAAAGTATAAATAGAGGACTTCGGGAATTCTTCTCATTTTCAATTTTTTGAACACTGGTTTTGGAGATTTTGAAGAGATTTTTGAAGGGAATTCAAGGTTTATCACTGAGGTAAGTTCTTGAGCCTAACTATCTTTAGTAATGGTGTTTTCCCATTGATTTCCCCCTTAATTAGTGAGGTTTTGAAGTTAAAATTGGGAGTTAGGGCTTGGGAATTTGGAGAGTGAACTTTGGGTTTTTGAGTGACCAAATGAGGCCGGATTTTGGTAAATTTGGTATGGTTAGACTCGGGAATGAATTGGCTTTCGGGTTTTGTAACTTTTGTCGGATTTCGAGACGTGGGCCCAAGGGTCGGGTTTGAGCCAATTTCGGGATTTGAGTCCAATTTAGTAGTTTTTCTTGTGGAATTGGTTCCATATGCATATATTGATTGTGTGGTATTACTTGTGGCTAGATTCGGGATGATTGGGGGCTGATTCGAGAGGCAAGGGAATCGCGGAGTAGGATTTTGCTCGGATTGAGGTAAATAATGGTTATAAATCTGGTCCTGAGGGTATAAAACCCTGAATTTGTGTCGTATGACTATTTTGGAGGTGACGCACATGCTAGGTGACAGGTGTGTGGGCGTGCACCATAGGGATTGTGACTTGGTCCATCCCATGAGACTGTAGAATCGATTAGCCTACTATTTACTACGTGTACCCTCTGTTTTTATGGCAATTCACTGCACTTCATGTTAGAAATCATGTTTAGGCCTTGTGATATCACTGTTGAGACCCGTGAGGTCGTACACTTGCTGAATTAAATGCTATTTGCTGTTTTGTTCTCAGTCATGATATTACCTACGTATTTTACCTCTGTCCCTTCCTATTTATCATTGACACATGTTATTATATATGTTTGGGCTGAATTATATGCTTTCTGAGAGCCCGAGGGACTGATGAGGTTGGTGACTAAGATAGGGCCTGAGTGCTGAGCTGTGAGCTATACGAGTGTATATGGATCGGGTTGCACGCCGCAATGAGCCTCAAGGCTATATATGTATATATATTGGATCGGGTTGCACGCCGCAACGAGCCTTCAGGCTAATTATCTATATTTTATCGGGTTCCACGGCGCAACGAGCCTTATGGTGGTTTATATATTGGAACGGGCTGCACACCGCAGCGATATGGTGCTTGGGCTGAAGGAGCCCCTCCGGAGTCTGCACACCTCGAGTGAGCGCATGTACCTATTGAGTATGATTATTGAGGGCTGAGAGTTGAGTGATTGAGCTGATGAGATGAGCTGAGTAACTGTTGCCTTGAGAGGCTGTACTTACTTTCAGTTAATTGTTGCACTTAGTTGTTATTTGTCCTTGTTGTATAAATTTCTGGAAGTTTTGGTATCTGGTTTACTTGAGCATGAACTGATGTGACTTAAACTATTAAATTTGAAAGCATGATCGTTCTTTATTAAAAGTTATTGAGATAACTGTATTTGCATAGCTCGTCACTACTTCTCAATTCCTTATTTATTTCTGTTACTTACTGAGTTGGAAGTAGTTACATTACTCCCTGCACCTTGTATGCAGATCCAGGTGAGACCGGTCGCAGAGATCGTTGAGTTCATGCACATTTGGTTATCGGAGACATACGGGGTAGCTTCCGGCATCCGCAGCCCTTGACTCTCCTTCGATCGTTATCTTTTCTTTCTGTTTTACTATTTGGTGGAACATTGTAAACTCTGATTATAGACTGGTTTTAGGTGCTCATGACTTAGCGACACCCCGAGGTCGGGCTATCTTTTCGCATTTTGTTTTGAGTTGAACTCTTTTATGAAGTTTTTTAGTATGAAAAAGCTTTGACATAACTTTTAATGAAATATCAAAGTGTTTTGAAAGGTGTCGGCTTGCCTAGTACCATGATATGCGCCATCACAACAGGTTAGAGTTTTGAGGTCATGACATACCTGATTGCTGCATGATCGGTATGGACTATGACTTTTGTTTCCACCAAGTATGCCCGAAATTTCTCAAAGGCCCACACAACGGCTAACAACTCATTTTCAGTGGTGGTGTAATTCAGCTGTGCATCATTAAGAGTCTTACTCACATAATAGATGAAATAAAATCCCTTGTCCCTCCTCTGGCCTAACACTGCCCCAATAGCATGGTCACTTGCATCACACATAAGTTTAAATGGTAGGGACCAATCTGGTGCCGCAATAATAGGGGTAGCCACCAACTTCTTTTTTAGCTCTTCAAATGCCTTAAAGTAGGCGTCATCAAAATTGAAAGTTACATCTTTTTCAAGCAACTTGCACAAAGGAGTAGCAATTTTTGAAAATCCTTTATAAAGCGCCGATAGAACCCCGCATGTCCTAAGAAACTCTGGACACCCTTCATAGAAATGGGTGGAGGTAATTTTTCAACTGCCTCCACCTTCGCCTTATCAACTTCAATGCCGCTTCTAGACACTCTATGACCTAACACGATGCCTTCCTGCACCATAAAATGGCATTTTTCCCAATTTAACACTAGATTTGTTTCTTCATAATGGGCTAACACCTTGCTCAAATTCTTCATCATCATAAGAAGACCCAAAGACTAAAATATCAGCCATAAAGACTTTCACAAATCTTTCCACCATATCGGTGAAAATAGCCATCATGCATCTTTGGAAAGTGGCTGGTGCGTTATAAAGACCAAATGGCATACTCTTGAAAGTGAAAATGCCATAAGGACAAGTAAAAGTGCTCTTATGGTCTTCTCCTGATCCTCTAGGCATATGACAATCTGGTTGTACCCCGAACAACCATCAAGAAAGCAATAATATTCATGCCCCGCTAACCTATCTAACATTTGGTTAATGAATGGAAGTGGGAAGTGGTCCTTGCAGGTTGCTTTGTTGAGCCTTCTATAATCAATGCAAACTTTCCACCCCATCACAGTGTGAGTAGGAATTAGCTCACTTCTCTCATTCTCTACCACAGTTATCCCCCCTTTTTGGGCATACACTGCACTGGGCTTACCCAGTTGCTGTCAGAAATAGAAAAGATAATACCTGCATCGAGCTACTTAATTACTTCACAACCTCTTTCATATTGAGATTTAATCTCCTTTACTGCTTAACACTGGGGCAATGTCCATCTTACAGAAAGATTTTATGCATGCAAACAATGGACTGATTCCCTTGATGTCAGCAATTGTCCACCCAATAGCCTTTTTATGCTCGCGAAGTACTCTGAGCAATTTTTCTTCTTGTACATTAGTCAAGCTGGATGAGATAATCACTAGCAATGTCTTAGAGTTCCCCAAATAAGCATAGCGTAGGTGCACCGGAAAGGGCTTTAGTTCTAGCTTTGGAGCTTCTTCAATAGATAGCTTAGGAGGGGTCAGAGTGACAGGCCTATCCAACTCCTCAAATCTCCCAAACCCATGGACATAACTGCAAGACATGTCAAGTACTTGCTCAATTTCTCCCATCATCTCATCTTCACTGTCTTCTTCATCCCCAATCAAAACTCGTTCAAGAGGATCTATGGGGCTCATATAAGACACTAATGACGTAGCATCACTTTCTACCACAGAAATCATGGATAGGTCTTCATAGTGGGCTGGCAATCTGAGTGCTTTATACACGTTGAATACCTCAACGCTATCACCTACTCTCTTCGTCATCTTTCCTTCGCATACATCAATAATAGCTCGGCCTGTGGCTAATAATGGACGCCCCAAAATAAATGGGACTTCCTGATCAAGCTCGTAGTCCAAGATAATGAAATCAGCTGGGAATATGAAAATACCCACTTGGACTAACACATCTTCAATCACTCCTTCAAGGTAAGCAAGGGAGCGATCAGCCAACTCTAAGATTACCATCGTTGGGCGTGTCTCACCCAAACCCAATTGTTTGAGCATAGATAGCGGCATCAAATTGATGCTCGCTCCAAGATCACACAAAGCTCGCCCGACTGCATGCTTACCAATCGAGATTTGGATAGTGAAACTACCCGGATCCTTCAATTTCTGAGGTAGCTTGCTTTGGATTCTTGAGCTACACTCCTCAGTGAGTGCCACATTCTCAAATTCGGTCAAGCGCCTTTATTTGCCAATATGTCCTTGATGTATTTTGCGTATTTGGGCACTTCTTGTAGGATGTCTACCAATGGAATATTTGATTTTCACCTGCTTCAAAATATTTATAAACTTTTTATACGCAGCATTATCCTTCACTTTCTGCAATCTTTGAGGGAACAAGGGTGGTGGCCTCGCAACTAATGGCGGGGGTTGCTTAGCCACCGCCTCTTCAGCTGGCTTCTCCGACTCCTTTGATTTTTCTGATTCTGACTCTATAGTGGCCGGCTTCTTATCAAATGTCACTTGTTTTCTCTTTTTTTACTGGACTTGTTCTAATTGTCTCCTATTCCTCAATGATATATCATTAATAGATGCCTTAGGATTAGCCTCAGTGTCTCTTGGAAGAGCTCCAACCAGTCGAGTATTTTGGGCACTGGCAAGTTGTCCCAATTGTCGTTCCAAATTTCTCATTGCTACGACTTAGGCCTGTTGATCAACCATTAATTTCTTCATCATCTCCTCAAGGTGACTTGTTGAGTTCGCCTGTTTTTCAACCTGAGGTGGTCTATATCGTTGTTGAGGTGCTTGTGGCCTGTATTGATTCTGAGCATCTTGGTTTCCACCCCAAGAGAAGTTTGGGTAGTTCCTCTAGTTGGGATAGTAAGTGTTCCCATACTGGTTTGTCTGACCTCTATTTGCATTACCTACAAATAGACAATCTCTAGATTAGATGGGCATAAGTCGCTCGTATGACCCTCTCCACATACTTCACAAAACAATTGAACCTGTTGCACTGGCTGGGCTTGTTGCTTATTAATAACCAAGGTCATCTGATTGACTTGGTTGGTCAATGTGGAAATCTGTGCTGATAATGCCGAGACGACATCTAACTCGAGAGCCCTTGTAGATTTTTGACTATATGTCTGCCCATCTCTCCTTGCTAATTAGGATTGTTTTTGGAGAATTTTTTCAATAACGCATATATCTCATCAAAGCTTTTCTCCAACACTTGACCTCCAGCTGCATCATCTACCGCAATCTTTGTCTCAGGATGTAGCCCTTCTATGAAAGTGTGAGCTAACACTTCATTTGGCTGATTGTGATGAGGATAGTGTCTGAGCAGCCCCTTGAACCTCTCCCAAGCTGAGTATAAAGACTCCCCTGCTTTCTGTTTGAAGGAAACTATTTCACTTCTGATCTTTGCAGATTTGCCTGAAGGAAGAACCTTGCCAAAAATTTTCTTGCCAGATCATTCCTGATGTAATAGAATTAGCTGGTTCTACCTTCAGATATCGCTTTCCTTCGCCCAACAGAGAAAACAAAAAAAGTGTGAGCCTCACATAGTCTGGAGTGACTCCGTTAGTGACATAAGTATCACTAATCTCCATTAAATTCAAGATATGCTATTGTGGATCCTTGTGTGGAAGACCCATAAACTGCCCATTCGCATGTAGTAGCTGGATCATGCTCTGTTTCAGCTCAATGTGCCCAGTGATTCTGGGCTTCACAATGCTGGAGGTGACATTAGCAATGCTGGGCATCTCCACCTCCTAAACATCCATATGTTGCTCCTCTGCCATGTTCACAAGAAATTGAACAAGTGTCTGAAGATTATTGATGTCCCTTGCTTCCCTCAACCTCCTATGAAATGTTCTCTTAGGTTCGGGGTCAAAGACTTTAAGTCTGTCCTGACTTCCGACCCTGGGAATTCAATCAAAGTTCATGAGATCAAAGCAACAATCAAGTAATGTTAGACTTGACAAAATAAACAATGAAAGAAAAAACTAGAAAGTAGTCAATATCCAAGTCTCCGGCAACGACGCCAAAAACTTGTTGCTCCCTAACGCACACGCAAGTATGCGTGATCGTACAAGTAATAAAATAATAAGTCAAGTGTCGAACCCGCATAGACTTGTATCAACTACCTACTAAGTTCACCAAGATTGTTATTCAGTGGAGCCAATTCGAGTTCAAGGGTTAATTATACTAAACTATAATTCTAAGTTACAACTAAATTATCAAGTAGTAAAATGATTATTGTGTATTTAGTAGAGACAAATATTTCAGGGTTGTAATCGATTCACCAATCCTATTGTGTCCTTGTTAACTCTCCCTTTCATACAATTCACTCATGGTTGCTAATTTATCGAAAAATTACTCTCATAGCCTTCTCCCAAAGTACTACTCACAAACTTTAAACCCTAAACCCTAAACCCAAACCCACGCATGAGAGGCAGTGCTCTGGCGGTCAAGGTAATTTTTAGGCAAATTTTCCTGTGATCGCCGCCATGGCCATTCTGGCCGGTGGCCAACCATCTTTACCGACTGGTCAGCCCTCCCCTACCATTGCCCAACCTCCCACGACAACAAACAACAATTCTCAGCCCTTGGATTACTCAAAAATTCTGAAACCTACTGCATTAAACATTGCCATGCATACGTTGAGTTCAACTTCAAAATCTATCAAGCCAATCCCCATGAAACCAGTTGAATATCTTCATGGACAACCCCTAATCAAGTGGACTGAAGCAGAAGTGGAAAGAATGAACATCATTGAGGGACTTCAATTTGCAAATCTTGGAAAATTTTCCTATGGTTGGCCAAATTTGCAAGAGATTCGTCGTATTCTTCCAGCTCAATGTGGAATAAAAGGTGAGTGTAATATTGGCTTATTAAGAGATCGTCATGTGTTTATCAGACTAACTTTATTGGAAGACTATACTAATCTTACGTCAAAAGGTGCATATTATTTGAAAGCTAAGGCTGGTTATGAATACCAAATGTGACCTTTGATATATGATTCTAAGTTTAAGATTGGTGAAGAAACTCCTAAGGTGATAGCATGGATCTCTTTTCCAAATTTACTACCAACTTTCTTTGTCAAGGAGTGCTTGTTCTCATTAGCATCAGCTGTAGGCATTCCATTACACTTAGACATGGCTACTGTGAACAAAACTAGGCCAAGCTGTGCAAGAGTTAAGGTTCAAATAGACCTGTTGAAAGAGCTGCCTAAACGAGTAAGAATGGACATTGAGGATGAGGCTACCGGCAAGGTTAGAACTGAGTGGGTGAAGGTGCAGTATGACTACATTTCTAAGTATTGCAAGGAATGCAAGCTTCAAGGTCACAATGAAGAAACTTGCTGGAGATTACATCCAGAACTATTTGTGGAAAGACAAGGAGAAACAAACAGTTGCTGCCAAGGGTGATGTTCAGAATAATGCAAAGAATCCAATTATGATCCTATCTAGTGGAAAAGTGGTTGGGAATGTTGGATAGCAGTGAAAAGATGTTAGAGACAATAGTGTGAGGAATGGTACAAAGTAGGTTGCAGTTCAAGGCTAAATAGGAAAAAAAATTGTCCCAGTTGCTTCTGGGAATGTGCAGCAAGGTCTAGTTAATGCAGGAAAGGAAATTGTTCCAGCTAGTGTTGCCAAAACTCAGCAACATGGATCAGGTAATGCACGAAAATATATTATTCCAACTGAGGTTGCCAATACTCAACAGATTCAAACTACAAATCAGTTTGCTGCTTTGGATAATTAGGAAAGTAAGGCAGATGGAGATAATCAGTTAACTTTAGTGAATGCAAGCAATGTGCAAAGTCCAGATCCTACTCCTCAGGAAACTGGGAAACCACTAAATGCAGCAACACCTAATTTTACTCCTAGGTCACATGGAACTAGGACAGCTAAGGAGGTTAATGCTAGAAAGGAAAGCACACATGCAGTAGAGAAGGGGCAGGAAAAAGAGAAGGAAACCACATCTCAATGGGTGAACAGAGCTTTTGTAGCCAACAATGTTACTATGAATCAATCATGCCAAGAAGTACCATCACAGGCAACTGAATCTGAAGCACTAGCTGAACATGAACTTCTGAAACAAAAAATAAACTGGACTGGTGGAAGGTTATAGTGTGATCAGACAGAGGAGGATTCAGATGAAGGTGATTTATCTGAAGGATATGAGGAGGAAGATAATGCAACAGTTGAAGCTGATGATGAGCCACAAGGAGAAGAAATCAGTGTTAATGGGAAGAGCAACAAAGGTGAGATGCAGACAGTGGAGAAGGCAACAAAACAAACTAATCTTTAGTTGAGGTTGGAGGTTCAAGTACTAAAAATCTAGTCACTAGCCCCAAGCCAACCAAAGACCCTATCACTAATTCCACCCTCAATCCTAAAACTTCTTCTACTCCCAAACCAAACGTTGTTGAACCAGATGTTGCTGAACCAATTGATCCTGGTGATCCTGGTGGAGGTGAGAAGCATCAATTTGCAGATAAAGTGATGGAATCTCCAGCTCATGATAGACTCGAAGTAATGGAGAATGCTGAAGGCATTGCCAATACAATGATTACTGAACAAATGATCAAAGCAAATGCAGACAAAAACATGATCCCTAAGCCAACTAAAAATCAGTTCATTCCAACTGATCAACAGAAGGATATGGAGGATGATACAGCATGAAAAGGAAGAGATCTAGATGCATAATCAACTTGTCAAAACTTCAGGAATGTTGCTAGACAAGGGGACATATCTCCTAGATTCATGGAGAAGGGTAAATCAACTAGTAGAGGCAGAAAAAAAATAAGTGAAAGAGGTCCCTAGTATCCAACCAGCTAGGGTCCAAACAAGGAAGACTGTATCTAAATCCATTAATGATGCATGCTCTAATATGGAACATTAGATCAGTTAATACACAAAGAGCCTTTGAAAGGCTCATAGCAATGCATAGGAAGTACCATTTTGAGTTTATTGGAGTAATGGGACCAATGCAGCAATCAAGGAAATTGGACAGATACAGGAGACAGATAGGATTTGAACAAGCTTTTGTGAACATTTCTAATAAGATCTGGGCTTTCATAGATGGAAAATATGATGAAACAGCTGAGATTAATTCAGTGCAACAACTAACTCTGAGGCTATTTGATACAGAAGAACAGAAAGAATTCATGCTCAGACTAGTTTATGCCAAGTTTGATCATATGGAGAGAATTGAGTTGTGGGACTCTTTGTATTATCTAGCTAGTGACATGACTATACCATGGATGTTAGGGGGATTTCAATGTTATATGAGATGAGGAGGAGAAGTTTAGAGCCTTCCAGTCTCATTAAATGAAGTAGATGACTTTAGGCATTGTATGAACACATGCAGTTTGACTGATCTGGGGTTCAAAGGAGAAGTATATACACTTGGTGGAATGGAAGAGCTGAAGAAGACTGCATTTTTAAGAGGTTGGATAGATGCTTTGCAAATATGGAGCTGCAGCAGTTGTGGCCAGGAATAGATATCACACATCTACCTAAAATTGGTTCTGAACATTGTCCTTTGCTAATCACATGTAATCCCAATGCTGTCCAAATTAAGAAAAGCTTCAGATTCCTATCTTTTTGGACAAAGCATGATACATTCAAGGTAGTGGTTAAGGAGAATTGGCAAGCAGACTTCCATGCCAATCCTTTTGGCCT